TCCTTTATTATTTCTCTCTTGGTGTGTATATAAATGTACAAGCTCTCATTGATGAAATACAAGACACAATTCATCTTTTTCATTATGTGTTTCATCTTTTCTACATGGTATCAGTGAATCTTTGATTTTTTTCTCCTCATTCTTCAAAATGTCTACCGACGATCTTCTTCCTACAAAGTCGTCTTCATCATCACCCACACCCATCATAACCGATTTATACACAATCCATCATTCCGATAGTCCTTCTACTATCCTTGTCACACCTTTGTTGACAGGAGATAATTACGGATCATGGAGTCGTGCAGTCACAATGGCACTTCGTGCCAAAAATAAGCTTGGTTTCGTTGATGGGTCACTCCCAATTCCGACAGAGAAATCTGACATTTCTAATTGGGAACGTTGTAACGATTTGGTAGGAAGTTGGATCCTTAATTCTGTTTCACCTGAGATCCGTCCAAGTATCTTGTATGCTGAAACTGCAGCACAAATTTGGACCGATCTCAAGGATCGTTTTTCTCAATCAAATGCTCCAAAAATCTATCAATTGAAACAATCAATTTCTTCTCTCAAACAAGAAAGCATGTCTGTTTCATTGTATTTTACGCAACTCAAATCTCTATGGGATGAACTCGGTTCCATTATCCATATCACTCCTTGCATTTGTGGTAATGCTAAAAGCATTATTGACCAACAAAATCAAGATCGATCCATGGAATTTCTTCAAGGACTACATGATCGTTTTTCCGCTATTCGCAGCCAAATTCTCTTGATGGAACCATTTCCTTCCATTCAACGTATCTATAATTTGGTTCGCGTCAAGAAGAAAAGCAACAAGAGATCAATATTCTCACAACTCCTACTGTTGATGCCGCTGCACTTCAAGCATCTAAACCTCCATTTCGTCCGTCGGGAAAACGTCAACGTCCATTTTGCGACCATTGCAACAAACATGGTCATACTCTTGCTACATGCTATCAACTTCATGGCTTTCCCGACAAACATGTGAAGAAATCCGTGCCACCACCATCCAACTCCACTCTTATGGCTAGTTCACTCACGCACGAACAATACAACAAGCTTCTCACACTTCTTGCCAAAGAAGAAACTAGTGGACCCTCAGTGCACTTAGCAGGTAAAAATCACACA